CATCGTCATCATCATCATCATTTGTGAAAGAATCATCATCTGAAGTGTTTATTTAGAACTCGCGGTTACTAAAATTTAAACTTTGGAGTGCATGTGACACATAAATTGCTTGCAAATTCCTGTCAATTGTTTGCATCGGAAGAATCTAATCACAGAATGGATTAGAAAAGATTAAAACGTTGGCATTGTAAATTATTTTCTAGAGACTGGAAACTAATCATGTCTAGTTAATTTAACGCATAACTACATTAATATAACATATCCCGCAATATGTACCCGTACAGTTTTAATATTCAGGGAAATTTGAAGACGGGAAAATGGCGTCAACGTACTTCCTATCCAGATGTCATCCTTGATTGACAGGGAAAGTTCATACTTGAACAGATAAGATTATTTAGTGAATCCACTGGACGTTATCACCTCCGTTATCACTATCGTATAATATAGTGTATGCAGAATGAATGTTGAAAGATCGAAATGGATGAGTGAATGCAACATTACACTTATTTTATATTTCTTTTCGGATAATCTTTCGTTACATGGTTTAATGAAGGACGATATGTAAAGGACAGACTTATGAATCAATTATCACCACTCGTTTTATGCTTATCAGTGAATCCTGGTAGACTTTCTAAAAATAGTCTTGATATATGATGGTCATCTTGTAGACTAAATCCGTGAAAGGGAGGTAAGGAGGTACTATAGACTTATCTCGAATAAAGATGTGAGTTGATATATCAAATAGAAAACAACGTTATAATCAGAGAGGCAATAGAAACAGAAGGAATGAAATATCATTGAGACTTGAGGAGACTTCAGGAGAATGACTACGTATTGTAATTGTGACGGTATAGAGAACCAAAACATTATTAGAAAATAAGAGAGTACAGGGATTGACGAGATTTGCAGCAAATGATGAAGTAAGAAATTGGGGATCTACAGAGATTTATGGTTTGCTTTGGTTAATTGTAAGTTCCTGACCGAGTACCCGAGGGGGCAAGTTCCAGTCTTCCTCGTTAATTCCGAATTTTAGATGGAGTTGAAATTCAGTTTTTGTCGATCGCTGGAGAATTAGAGAGAGAAATAACGTGAATACTTAGAATACATACCGGTTGTTCGTGCTGTTCAGGAGTCACTTTCCTGATCGAATTCCGTTATTCAATGTTCAGTTTCAGATGGCTGGTTGTTGCATCAGTTGATTATACAAAGGAACGTTGGCCAAGGTATTGAGCATACTCCGAAACAAATATCTTTGTTTCTCTTATAATGCTTCTCAAAGATATTTTGTTAGTTATTGACTTATAACAATTTACCTTAGGGTTCTTCGACCGATTACCAATTTGATTGGTGTTTGAACGAATGAAATGACAGCTGCGAAATATTTTGGAGAGGAGAAATTGGAGGATGCGATTTATGCGATATACTTACGTAAAGTACGCTATGTATCACCACCGAACAATGAATCTTCGGTATTTCCTCAATCTTTTCTGTTTTAGTGGTCCGTTTAAGACCGAAAGCAATCAAAGCGAGCCTGAATGACGGATAAAAAAGAAGGGATTCTTGATCTTAGAATTCAGACTAATTTTAATAAAAAGTTGCACTGAAAGGGATGTTCGTTCTTCGTTCCTCACTACATTTCTTTGTTTTCATTATTGTAAATTGGCATTTTTAGGATGATCGCGCGCTAGATATAAGGAGGTACGGTTGCTCTGTGGATAACACATCCGATCATTTGCACTGGGAAACCATTCGAGAACGAGTCATTCGTGCCGGAACATTGCAAAAACTAGTTGTAAATTTTTGCGCTATTATTACCTTGTAGTCAGAAGGAGGAGATAATTTTCGAAGATAACTGTGGTAGAAACAGCATTGTCTTTGATTTTTATGGTTGAGTTATTGTACTTCTAATCAATTACTGGTATTATAGGTCGTTGTTATTTAGGACTCAAATATATTGAAATTTATTTCGGTTAGAATTTATCTTGGTACGATTTTCTCCTGATTTGTAAACAAAATCTGATTAGTGATAATTTAGAGGTTTTGAAAATAAAGAAAGTGAACTGGCTTTATAGTTTTTATTAGATATGTTTAAGCTTTTACAGAAAAACCAAGAAAATCAGGAATCTTTGCTCATGAAGTTTCGTGTATTCTTTTTGATTGCTCATGAAGTTTTGTGTATTCTTTTTGATCCAATAAAGCTTGTAATATTCAGGAGTGCCTGACAAGTGATGATATGTTGATGGATTCGAGACATTTTAATGTTTTTTTCGCCACCTATCGTTCTTTCGCAACATGTTCAAATGTACTGGAGCTTTTACTTCAACGTTATATGTCGCTTGAGATGAATTCGCTGATAATTGGCAAAGCAAAAGCTGTCACTTTGCAATGGTCTTTTTTTTTAAATTATAATACGAAAGTTGTGAGCTTAACTTATGCACACGCTAGAAGAGCACTTTGCTAAACATGTTTTTCCCGCTCTGAATAATTAAGGGTAGTGAATTGCTTTTACTCCCATTATTTAGTTTTTCTTTTAATTTAGCGGCCATTCAAAAATAGATGACGTTACAGCTTTAAGTGATGATAGTGGTATAGCCTAAACTTGTTATCTATAACTTTTGATGCAACAATTCGTAATCAGGGTGCAAAACATGAGATTCGGGACAGAATGGCTTAGATTGCTTTAATTCATGAAATGTATTTGATGGGAAGAGGGGATTTCAGCTCTCTACGTTCTGTAATAATGTGTTGGTTGGAAATGTACCCTGAAGATTTCAATGAGCCAAGTGCCGACTTTACTACTTTGATGCGACTGATCGAGTTTGGCAGGATACATAAAATCACTGATGTGAGGACAAAAGCCCGACAGTTGCGAGAAACCTATAAACGTCAGGTTATGGATGGACGTTACTTAGGTATGTTCATGGTGGTTACAACCACGAATACCAAGTTTATCTTTTCCTTCTATTCTTGCATTTCTTTTCACTTTTCCGTCATGCACCAAAGCTAAAGAGGTAAAGTCGTGACGCTAAAAGTGCATCTTTCATGCAGAGTCTGGTTTCGATACAGGTTCAAAAACGTTTTTTTTAAGTTATCCAGAATCTTTTTTGCTACTAAGAGAATCGTGCTGGAATTTTATATCTCATTCATACTGGAACTTTTTACCTCAATTTCCTTCCGGCGTTCTTCATCTAGTATCAATGAGTTTTTGATATTCGCACTTTATAGCTCAAATACCTTCAATGGAGCAATATGTCTTCAGCACAGGTTATGATGCACCTGATTTCGATACGTGTGTACAGAGGGCTAATATGTTCGATATTGGAAAGGAAAATTGCGTACAGATTGCTGAGCAACTCACGTTTTGGGATGCTGTAAGGTTTTATGCTACTGGTTGCTTAGAAGAACAAATAACTTCATGTCATATTTTTCAGTTTTATTTAGCGATTGTGAGCAAGACTTAATCTGGTTAAACACATGATCTGAATAGTGGTTGCTTTCGTTCATCCGTTTTTTATAGGAATTATTCAAGGAACTGTTGCCACAACAATGCCAAGGTTGCGTGTGGAACAAAAGAAATAAACGAGGGCCAGAAACAGTATACACTGTAAGGGCAACAATTGATCAGGTTCCATTATTTTATTCAAGAAGGTACCACATCTTGATTTTTAATAACTAAATGTTAAAGGTTGGTAAACACTGAAGGTCTTTCAAAATTTCTTAATGGTCACTTGTGATTTCAAAGCATTAGTCTTTTCAGAATGCTAAGTGAAGATTTGTATATTACACTTGGTATATTAATAGCATCTCAGAAATACCCTCATTAATTCAGAGATATCATCACTTTGATATATCAGTTCGATTTAATTCCTATTAATTCCAATTTTTTAGTAATATGTTATAAGACAAAAATAACTAGTGCATTTCCAGTTCAATGCAGTTGTTCAAAAAGTGATGACAAGTATAGTTCTTCCGGATTGCCGGCCTGATTTTCGAGCAAAAATAATCGCAAAATGGATCGACGTTGCAAGGGTTTTTTGAACATTAATATCAATTTGATCCCTCTGTTCATGTAATATAAAATCAGTGTTACCAAACTAGATAATGAATGTTTAGATCTGCAGTTACATATTTTATTTTACACCGAAATTTTCTTTCAGGAACTAAGAGCTTTGAAAAATTTCTCATCATTAAAAGCAATCATATCAACGCTTCAGTCAGAACCGGTTCACAGGCTAAAATCTACATGGGCACAAGTTCCTAGGTATTAAACTTCTCATACTTGACCCAAAAACTTGCATTTGTTCTGTGCTAAAAAGAAATGGATAAAGCCATTGTTTTTCAGTGCGTCACTAGCTCAGTTCCGTGACTTAGCATCAATATTTGATGCAGATGATGATGGTGAAGAACGTCGGGCTAGACAAATTCTTGAAGAAGTGTGATTTATGTATTCTCTTGTTTTCTCCTCTATATTTGAGCAGCCGTAAATTAATATACGAATGTGCCCTAGATTTCACATATTTTGGAACTTTTTTGCACACCGTACGTTTTAGCCAAATTTATTTTTAGGAAGGCACAGCAAAGAAATCACCATTAAAGCGACCACAGCTTATTCAGAATTGTCGAAGAACAAAAAGCGATGTTAATTTAGCAGAATCTCAAGGAACAGTACCCTATCTGGGTACTTTCCTTACTGACCTTTCCATGATTGACCAAGCTAACCCAGATTTCACTGAGGGTAAGCTTGTTTTTTAGATTCATAAGATATTTAACTGAAGATTGGATCCTTATGGAATGACATTTTTTGAATGTCGTTTTCTTTTTTCTCAGAAGGTTTGATAAATTTTGAAAAGCGTCGAAAGGAATTCGAAATAATCGCCAAAATTCGCCTTTTCCAATCTGCATGTCGTGCCTACAAGATCCCTATGGATATGGCATTCTGCTCATGGTTCTGCTTTCTTCCGGCATTGGATGAAAATCAATGGTTATTTTTGTTTCAGTTATATCATTTCAAGTTTTGGTGTGCAAGGTATTCTGGTGGTCTTAGATTTTATTTTCCTTGGTTCCCGGTATATTGCCCATTCCACCATGTTTAGAAATCAGTTTCTATTCTTCTTTTCATAAATTTCATTGAAACAACGACTGTTGTAATTTATTATTGTAACCGTATACACTAACCCTCGAAAAATCTCTCTGCTCTTCCTGAATGCAGTTAGTTAGACGATTCTAATAATTCCAAAAATATTCAGGACTTATTATGTAGCAGTAGTACTCTTTTTCTGAATATGTCTTGTTTTCTCCGTTTTATTTCGTGGCTATTTCAGATTTAGGGGTCGGTATGCTCTTTCACTGGGATTTCGACTTTTATTATCAAAATTTTTTTTTGATATCTCTTTTATGAAAGGTCGAACTAAACTCTGACAAAGCTAGTTTTGAAGTATTTCCAGTATATTGAGGATTAGTGCCCAGGCGACATTTTTGGAACAAAAAGTTTTCAGCTTTTAATCTACAGCATTTTTCACTGCTTTTGATCCATATTTCTTCGCGGAACTCAAAAATTCTCTCCAGATTTGTCGTATGCTATTCGGAGATCTTCTCTTGAGCAGTTTTATTAATTAAAAACATGAAATCATCCAGTACTACTTATTGTTGGCAAGAAATTTTTTTCGTTTGAGTTATTGTTTGTTTTAATTGTTTAATTTCTCGAGCATTTGATAATAAATCTTTTCCAGTTTCGTAAGGTCGTTAGAAGTAGAACTGCCAACTAATCAGGGGGACTCATCGAAGCCAATTCGACCATCACAGGTGTCAAAAATGTAAGGCTTTTATTTAAATAAAATAATGATGAAAGAAATTTCTTCTTTAAATAGTGATGAAATAGTGATGAATAGTGATGAAATATGAAATGGTGTTCTTTAAATAGTGAAAGAAAGTAAACCTTCCCAGGTTCTCGGAGTATATCTCAGGAAGCCCATTCATCATTAAGAGATTTATTAATTAAAATAATTTGGTGATCGTAGGCCTGGGAAGTTAATAATTATGGGACGAGGTCTCTTGTTATCAAATACTTAAACTTTAGAGTTATCAGCACAGCAAAAAATGACTTCATGTTCACTCGCTGAAATGAACATTTTGCACGTAATATAAGATATAAATATAAGATGTATTGAATTTTTAATTCCTGTAAATCTTCAAGAGAGAGGAAGAGAGAGTGGGAGAAAAGGAAATGATGGGGAGAGAAGGAGGAAAAGGGAATAGTAAACAATTTTGTTTACAACTCTGATTATTTTCGTATGTTTTTTATGAAAGAAATTAGTCCATTTCTTTTACTTATTCACTTCTTTCTCGGGCACTTCTTCGTTTCTCAATTCTTTTTCCATTATGTTTGAATCTTTCATACCGAAGTAGATAACTGTTTACTTTTTGTATTATTAATAAGATTCTTTAACAGATTCTTTATGCCACTATAATTTATAAAGAGTTATTTGTAAAACATAGTAAGAAATTCTTAGGAAGGAGCAACAAAAAAAGCACTCAAAATCACATTAAATTTTGGTGGTCATTAGGGTTCATCTATTTCTGCATGCAAATTTATGCAGCATTTCCTCTTATATTTCATGGCTAAAATTTATCTGTCTCATGTTAAAATGATTTTGGTTGAGCTTTGATTGATATTTTGTTGTATATAATTTGAAATTTGCATAAAATTCTGCATAATTTCTCACTGTTACCTAATTACTTTTTAGGAAGAGCGAATGTCATCTTAGACCTAAATTTTCTTCAATCTAGTAAATTTTAGTGACTTGGTATCTGAGGTTTGCAAACAATGCAATTTTTGTAGTTTCTTATTTTGGATCGCTTACTTGATTCGTAGGATTTTTATAACCTTAATTTCTGAAGTACTTCTGCTTCATTTATTTTCTTCATAAATTAATTTTCTTCTCTTTGAGTTGCTTCATTGATTCTTGCTGACAGTGAGACGAAAAGTTATATAAATCTGTTTCAGGAATACATTATCACGGTTAATATCAGGCATGAGTACAGACGAGAATCCAAATGACAGCGGGCAAATATCTAATGATTCGGGTATCGTAACGGAAGATTTATGGTTTGATGCTGTAACCAAACCATTTGCTGAGAAAACATTAGTAACTGTCTGTAGTCCGTTTGGTATCGTTTCTTCGCGATCATTTACTGCTCCTCCAACACCAGCTAGTACAGTTTTCTGGAAAGGTGGTTAGTTTTGTGGTTAGTTATGTTAATATTCAGTTCTTTTTTAAATCTTGTTCTTACTCTTGCTATAGTTTTAGCTGAATTATCAAGGAAAGAAGAAGCTTGCCATTTGTTTCCGGCAACTAAAAAATTAAATTTACCCAAGGTGAATTTTACCAGATTTTATGGTTTTTAGGCAGTGAATTTAATCCTACTGTTGCTTTTTCACATCGACGGTCAACAAGTGGTGGTTGGGACAAGAAGCATCAGTCGAATGATGTTACTGTTGGTACTTCATTGAATTCTTATGGGAATATGGTGAGTTTTTGTCAGATTCACGAACAGTCTGGATCGAAAAATTATTGTGCTGATATGTTACTGTAGTGATTTTGTGGGATACAATGGAATTTGTAAATCAAACACGTATGAAGCGTATCAGTTGGAGATAGTTGTAAGGTATTACAAACTATTCTACACTGTTACTTTGTCACAATTCCTACGTTTTGTTTAGTTTCAAAGAAATACAGTGCATGAAGCAAAACACTGATCTTAACAACACTAAACGTTATTCGGAGTGCCCAGGCTGAAAGCGTGGTGAACTCTAGAAATAGTTATTTTCCTGTCATGTTTGCATATAAAAAGCACTTAAGTTTTAATCACATATTGCAATTTTTTTCTTTGCAGACACCGGAAACGTCATCAGGTTCATGCGTTTCGGCCAGTTCATTGCAGCAGACAACACCGTTCCATCTTGCACGAATCGCTTTAGATGATTCAATGAAAAATGATACGGGCAATGCTAATTATAAATGTGTTAAGATATGGTTTAAGTAACTCAACTATTTTGTGAACAAAGGAATAAGTTTTATGAAATCATTGTAAATGTAGTGAGGATCCCATTAAGTTAATGGACAGGTAAGCAAATATAATATTTGGAAACTTACTATTTACTTTCTTGTTTCTCTGAAGTCAAACGATAAAATCGCTTTTTCAGATTAAAAATGGTGACAGGATGGCGGAATTAATTGAAAGGACTTTAGAAAAACATCTTATCTGTGGTGACCATTCCGAATATTGTCTTGTGCAGCTCCTTCCCGATGGATGTAGGTCTTGAATAGCATATGAATTTTGTAGCTGAAGGTGTTTTTGATGACCTGACATCTTTTAAACTTCTGTTTATCTAGTTCCAGGTTTTTATTTAAATTGTCCAAGTAATGAAGGAGAGAGAGAGAGGTTTATTGGCAGTGCATATTATCGATCCTTTAGAATAATCAATTTGAGCTTCATTTTACGAAAGTTTCCACATTTCTTTTGGTAAGAACTGACAGTATAATTGGGGCTAGATTCAGTACTTATAGCTCCTTTCTTCATCGTAGGTTTTAAATTTCTTCTAACTAGCTATCTCGCTACAGATTTCTAATTTTTAAGGAGAGCTGAATATACTTTTCTTATTTTATTTTTTTTTTAATTTAGGTGAATTCTGCTTGCCGGAGAAATGTAATCCATATTATGCTGTTGCACCAGATCCCACTTCAACAATGTTGAATTTTGTGTTGCGACGAAAAAGCGACGTGGAGCGAGTGGCAGTATCAGGTGGTATTGCAGCATCAAATAAAAAATTAAACAAGATAAAACGATGTAATTTACTACGATGGAGTAGCGGTTATTTATGAATTTTCAGGTTTTTGAAAGCGGATATTTGTTTAATTACTTAAGCGTATTACATTGTTAGGATGGTGCACCTCAATTGTTATCTTTCTTGTTAACTACGTTCTCTTAATAGGTCAAGCGGAGAGTCGAAACCGGGATGGTCTTTTTCCAACCTTTATGAGATCTGAAGATGTGAGGGTTTTGCGCTGTTCTACATTTGCAGTGAAAATGTTGTTGCTGTTCTTAATAAGGTGATAGTCAGTTGGTTTAGCATATTATTTTTTACAGTATGCCTTAGTCATCAATATTGATTTTTTTCCCATTATTATCGTCCGACCAAATGAACTTCACTGTAGCTGATATATACCGCCATAGATCGTAAAGTGAGAGGAGCAGTTAAAATTTGGTAACTAAATAATAACCTAGGAAGAAATTTCGGTGACGTATTTTCCATCTTGCATTTGTTGCTAGTATATGAAATATTTTCATAAATTCTCTATTTTTCAAAAAATCCGAGGAACATCTTTTGGGTGCTTTTTTAGAATCTAGATTTAATTAAATCTTTTTCACAAGCCAACCAATAATTCATCCTTTATATTGCTATGCGCTAATCCTATCATATTCTTCCCACTTTTAATCTTGAACATTGGCAGATGGATTGATCTCTAAAACTTAGAGGCATACAGAAACGTGTTTATTAATTGTGCACTGTTAGTATAAGAAAACATTTGCGTGAAAATACTATCAAGAGTTTAAAGCGTCACGATAGATAGCTGAAATATATTTATCCAACAGCTCATAGCAAACTCATGGCGCTGCTTTATGTAAAGATTATTTTGTTATCATTTGCAATGATCATACTGCAAATCAACGCACCAGTGATGGTTGCTAAGAAATGATATAATTTTACATGCGTTAGCTTAAATTTGTATTTTAATACATTATGATATATATTTCAAACACTGTTCTCCACATTCAGATGAACGGGACATTTTGCTCTTTAACACTATTTCAAAGCAAATATGTTTAAGATTTGAAAACATCATTCTTGAGGAAAAATTAATAAATTAGTTAGCACCATGAGTTCGGAATTGTCCCTCTAAGTTTCTTACTCCAGTGGACTGCTGCATAACCCCAAATCTGTGTTCGTTAATATCTGTTAAGTTCCGCTCATTACACCGACAGAGTCTACTGCTTAATTTCTATGTATTTTTCAAAATTACTGTAAAAAATCTAAGATTCATCTCATTACAAATTTTTGGGGATATGTTTATTCGAACATCAAGGTCAAGTTTTAATGGTACTATATTTATTACTCCTGTGAAATCTTGATTGCTTAATTGCTAACCCACCATTTTAAACAAAATTAACCGTATATAAGGACTTTATTTAGAATATTATCTTTGAAAATTTCTAGATCAGATATTGATTTTCTTCAGATATTGATTTTTATCCATATTGATTAAACTATCGCTTTACTCTTTTTTATATTTATTTCGTATTGTAAATTTTCGAATTTAATTGAAATGATAAATTTTTTAATCCCAGCAGGTTCTAATTTTCATTTGTATGGGAAATGTCATCGAAAGCATACTTGCACATTATTTTACATATCACTCATTATTCTTGGTGATAAGATAAAAATGATGACAACTACATTAATGGACTTAATGACTGCTTAATTTGATACGATGGTTTGGGACCTTTGGTGTGCTTTTTTATCCTACTCGACATTGTCTGCGAAATAACTGTTTAAATTTATTTCATTAATTTATAATAACTGCATTGGGTTTAGGAAGGATACAACAGAAGTAATTCATAGTAAATGCTTCGTGTGAGACTCTGATGTCATCAGTCATTGAAAGTTTTTTAATGGACATTAATGGACTACATTAATGGACTTAATGACTGCTTAATTTGATACAATGGTTTGGGACCTGCTGGTTTCTCCGAAGCCAGCAAATTTTTTTCTTGTGAAGCATGCAATCTATAAGTTTCGAGATCAGAAATTATGAAATTATATGAATTATGAGGTAATAAATATGATACTAGGCTTCTAAGTCTTGTTTCCTTGGTCATTCCATTTCGGGTGCAAATATTCGCTCGATATCTCATTTCACTCTGAACAAACAGACCTACATGGGAAGTCCACAAAATCAATCTCAGGATTATTTCATGTGTTGCCAGATTCAAATTTCTGCTTGTTGTCGTGGGGCATGCTGATTTCTGATTTGGATTTTTAAATTCAAATTTTTAAGAAATTATGAATTGAAGTTCACTGGAAATTGTGGGACGAGTAGACTTTATCGTGTTGATCAATAACACGGAGATCAGCATGGAGAATTCGCGAACATTGATCTGGTACCCTACTGCAGTGAAGATTTTAATATATTCCGCTGACTCCTGGATCATCTTGAAGTATACATCTTAGGTCATAAGAGCCAATTATTTGGATATCTTTCTGGCGAGAGTCCGTCTTATGGGAACGATTTTTTTCATTTTTAAATGCTATGGATATTTTGATGATTCATATACACAAAGATACGATTTTCTGAGAAGGTCAAGGTTGATTATTTTTTGGTTGTTTATAATTTAAAATTTACAATGTATTGAAATTTCAATATGATAAGTAAGCGAAATGCTTGTTCCATCTTTTCAACACTGCAGGATAACGGGAAGTAAACTCTTGAATCGTTTTGGAGCGGAAGTGTTTGAAAGAGTTGTTTGGTGCTTGCAATATTGCCGGTGGATCTCCACAGTCATTCTATTCCGAAAGATTGTCATTACCAACTGAATTTCTTGAATAATGTGATTGATAATCAACTTAGGTTTATCACATATTTTAAAATTTCCTACAAAATAAAGTTTCTCGAAGGGATGCTAACGAAATCCTCCAATATTCACCAACATACTAGTTGTGAAAATATGCTTTATGTTTGGTTCTTTACAGAATTTCGAAAAAGAAAAGCAAGTTGGGTATTTCATTTGAGCAGTTAGATTCTGTACCTTTTTATCGTGACTTCCAGAGATTTTCGGTGCTTTTTTAAAATCAAGGCTTCAGTTTTTTTTTTTACTTACTGAAATTAGCTTGCTTATGTAAACTTTTACAAATAAATCTCTGCAGATTGTTTCGTATCAATGCATTGCATTTCCACAAGTCCAAAGAAGACGTTCAGTTGCAGTGTTAAGCTGATAGATGGATGATAGAATATTTTGATAATGATAGAAATTGTAGGATGAAGTCTAACTATAAGAATGACAAAAGACTAGTTAACAAATATTAAGTGGATGACGAGAAGGATAAATGATAGTTAATAATGGAATTAGTAAAAGTCTACCGCAGACAGAATTTTTTAATTTCCAACCAATTATGCGGAAGTATTTGTGGATGCTAAATTCGTTTAAATTATCAACACACGACTTGTTATACCCTGCGAAATAGCTAAAATAGCTTAGTAAAGTGTGTTATCATAAGCAAGTGTTTTTCTGTGCTCAATTATCCCGAATAAACGTGCAAAGATCAGATTATATCAAATTTCTTAATGAAGATGTAATAGAACTCACTCAGAATATTAACATTACCAAAATATTAAGTGTTTCATTAAGTAAAATAAGCAAAATTCTTCAGAGTATGTCATAGAGATGCAAATTTTTCGTAGTGTTTATTGAGTATTAAAGTACGGAAATAAATTTTGCGATGTTTAAATTTAGTCAAAGATATTATTTGTCAACGTGCTGTTCGTGAAGTCAAATGCTAGTTAATCTGTGCATTCTTTTGGTATCGTTTAGTTGACATTGAATTCTAGAGAGTTTCTTTGGGAAAAGGATTTAGTTATTTCTATTTTTATTTAATTTAGGCGCAAAAGGGTTTACATAGTTAAGTCAAAAAGAAAAATATTTTCGAGTTGGTATATATTGCTTATAAAGCAATGGTATTTTAATTTATCGTAGTCGTGGCCATTAGTATATCATAATTTCTATACAGGAAATAAGAAACAAACGATCGAAAACCCATCTAATCACGTTTTTTGTTAAGTGATGTCCAATACGGGTGAATACTTCCTTGCCCATGATGATACTTTTCTGCTTCCATCAAACGCTATTTACCGTATCAATGATAAATTAGACGGTGCATCCGATCTTTCATCAATATACTCTAACGAGCCTGAATCCGCAATTGGTGATGGACATGATGCGGATGAAATATATATGGATAGTGCTGAATTCGCACAAAGACTTTATAAGTTCGTCACAATCTGAATATTGATTTCCTACAATTTTTAAAAACAACATGATTTTCCAGTAAATAAATGGAAAAAAAATTCATTTTTACAATAAAAAGCGAAACAGACACAACTGTGCTTTGATTTTTTTTACTTTTCGGCTTATTATTTGCAAAATTGTTACTAATTTTGAATCGCAGAAAAGATTTTAACAAAGGTTGCAATTCATTAACCTTATTTAGCAGAGCAATTATAGATTTGGCTTAGATATAAATGGTCTTCCGTTACGAGACGATCTGCTCTTCAAAACATTCGACAAAGCCGCGAATTTTAACTTAAACATACAAAAACTTTCTTGGTGGCAAAAATTCAGAGGAATCAAAGCAAACCCAATTCAGGCAAGTATTTTTTTCTAGCCAATCTCGTGTTATAAATGCAAGTTCGTTGTGTCATTTACAAACCTTCAGAAAATATCTAGAGAAGTCATAAATATCTTGCAAATTTAACTGAAATAGAATCTGGGGAAATGGGATTCAGAGATACTATGCAGATTCTCTTTGTTTAAAGTCTGAAAGCCTTGAACAAACTAATCAACAATCAGTTTTTTCAAGTATGCAGTTTCTGTTATGATAGTATGATAGTCAATACAACTATGAAAATACTCCAACTTATTGTTTTCCCGCTTGCTAACAGATATTATCTTAGGTACCACACATCGCTCTTTGGGATTATTTCGGGGGCACATCATGTTTGGATATCAACTGTATAGCGGGAGATCAAATTAATGTGCTTTGCGAAGAATTTCAGTGATTTTCGAATACATTCTCTCTCCTTATATATTTTCTATAAATAATAGGAATGGACACCCATAGGGTGGCGGTCAAAAAACTGTTACATTCTCAAGAGTATAACTTCTGAAAAAGTGTAAAAGCTAAATCGACTCTCAAGCGTAGAACGGTATTTTGCACGTAATTTACACTAAGTGACAATAAATGACCAAAATATGAAGCATTTAGAGTTCGTGAAATTGATAGCATAACATCAGATGGTCGAACATTTTTACGACTCCCAATGCAATGGTCATTGGGTCAGTGGATTGGAAATCGATCGTTTCGGTCGAACATCGGGTTGATACCATCTTGTTGGCTTATCAAGAAAAGTTTCTATGATGGTAAAATTCATATTTCATAATTATCACCACTGCTTATTCAAGTTTAACTACTTAAAACTCCTTCTTTGTTTGAATAAATTTTTAATCTATTCCAGCAAACAAAAGACTGTTTGCTCATCCAACATGGTTTTTGGGAATCTCTGATCTTAACACTGCTTATGACTATCTCATGGAAGACCATAGTTCTTATAGACCAGGTAAAAAAGTCTTTTGAATGATTGTCGTCAACTCTGATCTTGATTTCTAAAATAATATATCAGAGGAAAAGAATCTAGTCAGTTGAAAACATGAAACATTTTTTCCTAACTTTTGAAATTTGTACGAAAAAGCGAATGGAAAAAAATACGTTTGTACAAAATTTGTGCGAAACTTTTTTTTAAGGATTATTTGTCATCTTCTCACCAATTTGGCTCAATATCGATGCTCGAGATCACCGGCCTTATATCATCCTTGTTATGTGCTGCAAAAGCAACAAAATCTTGAATGAAATGATAAAAGCTTATACGAATCAAATTATCAGTTAAAAATATAACAAAATACACATAAACTAATTTTAAGGACGAGAACTAGAGCATTGAAGTACTTATTATGATGAAAAGACTTGATATCACTATTTTCTGCATAGATTGACATCTAACAGTTATTTTGAGGATGCTAATTAAGAACAATTATTTGATTGGATTTCAACCTGAAAATAACAACATTACAGCAGCAAAAGGAGCTCTGAATGACTTGAGTATGCGTTTGACTTCCGTTCTTCATTTGTCTACTGTCGATGATGAGGCACAAACCGGTTTACAAAAGGTTAACCTACTACCTTAGAACAGAGAAAAGCTTACATATACTGCAAACATCCTAGTTCTTCGTATTTTTAACCAACAGATCTTTCTAATCTTTCCTTTTGTTTTCGTTTTTTGACGTAATACTGCTATGTGAATTTTATATATGAATAAGGCTTAAATAATTCTAAGGCTTTAAGGCTTAAATAATTTTCTTTTTTTATGATACATTTCACTGATCTCATATGATACTAAAGTGAATAAAACAGAAAGGGGAGAGGTGTAAGATAATGGATCAGTCTGTGGGGAAAATTGCTGAATTTAAGATCGTGGAAACATTTTCATCTTTTTACCATTCACTTTTTTAACTAAGCCTAATCTACTGAAAACTTCACTTCTTCCCCGATTTCACCCTCCTAATCTACTGAAAACTTCACTTCTTCCCCGATTTCACCCTCAAATCAGTTTCCAGATCTATTAGCACCAAACAATTGCATCAAAGATATGAGATTTATTTTTGACGGACATTATTTAATCTGCAGATCTTGGAATAGAGCAGCTATAATTGTTTTAATTTAGCCTTTCTCAGTTATCGTCAAATGAAATTTATGACTATTTCAAAGAGATTCTGGCAAATGTCATTATGACCTCGCGAAAAGCACCAATGACTTATTGAGTTCTACAAATTAAAGCTTGCTTGCTTATTGCCCTAAATTTATTTCGTGCTAAAGTGTAATTTGGTGTGAAATGATTTGGGACATGGAATAGTTTGGCTTACAAAAGATAATGAGTCATTTAGTGATCATCAGCACATGAAAGGTGTAATAACGAGTCATAATTATCCATTTCAAAAAGGAACAAAGTTTTATTCAAAGCAAAAGGTCCATTTTTTTTTTCAGAAAAATAATTCAAAGAAGGATGCATCAACATCAGTAGGACTTGCAGATGTATCAGCACCACCTAGTCATCAAGAAGTGTCCAAGGTGTTGTACAGCGTATTTACCTGCTAACCTGTTAGTTTAGTCATTCATTTAACTAACAACAACCCTTTGGAGGTTGATTTTGTTAAGAGATATAGTTTTCAATTGATTCTGAAATTCTTAAAACAAAACGTAATTATTTCGCATCGCCTAATAAAATGAAAGTTACAGAAAGTAATTGAACAAGAGTATAAAGATGAGAATAAGTTCAGCCCCGAAAAAGAGGATATCGATCCAGAGCATATCGAACATACTTCATTACCATTCTACATCAAGGCATCGAGTCTTAAGTCTAATTTAAGAATGCCGAGAAATTTTCCCGAAAAATACTTGATTAATGCATATTACTTTAGCAAATAGCACAGCGTATTTATTTATACATATGTGTTTCAAACAGAGTTCGCAATGCACAGATGAATTATAAGAACAATTAAAACAAGTGATTGATTAATTAAATAGCCGAATAAATTCCTGAAGTTTAACTAAATTAATGTCATTTAGACGTATACAATCCGTCGTAGTCGAATTGGACGTTACTTATTGTTTAATCGACAATTCTCAACACTCTACGACTTAGTCTATTACTATGCAAATTACCAATCACCAATTCCACACAAACTCAGTTATGGACCTACCAAAAAAGTTAGCAATAATGAATAAGTGTTGAATTTCATCTGCATCAAGCATTGCATTATAAATGAATTGCATTGGAAGGCGCAATTATTAACTGTCGAGATTGAGTATCTTTATTTGAATATCGAATTCTGTGTTAAGAATTTGAACGCTTGAAAACGTAAAATCGTAGACGGTTAAGGCTTCAGCAACTTAAAACTAGAATTATGCTCATGATTGACTGTTTATAAGTTTAGGTATTTAAACTTATCACAGGCTTTCGCCATTTTTCTACAGTGAAAAATAAATTCAGAACGTATTTTTACTCTCCAAAATATCGTTTTTCTTCAGCAGCAAGTTGTTCATTTCCACAGTGTCCCACCACCATTCACTTCACCAACTCGCGACATTTATGCAGTGACGATGAAAAGTGAACAATGGGCAGCGCGACATTTTGATCAGGTATTGTCACCGGCACAGAGTTAGACAAAAGTTTAATTCGTTCCAATGAAAAATTTCTAAAATAATAGCCAAATATACTGATTTCTTGGATGTTTGGTAAAATAATGCTATCAAATTAACATTAATGTTTGATTACGGGTCAATTCGAGTCATTTCAGACAACAGAACCGGCACTCCTGTCGCAAACATTTTCGCTTATTTCCCGTTCTATTTTCGACCCTTACAAAAAGTCACATATGGAATTTGCTCACTCTATACAACTTAGTAATGATGTTATCGAAGAAGCTCGAACTTACATAAAGCGTTCTATGTCAAGGAGAAATGCGAAATCCCCTAAGGTCTCCCAACTTCCCTACCAATAATCAAACTTTCCAACTTATTTCTTTAAACTGTTAGCATTTTCTCTCCGGAAATAATTTTCAGGACGATGAAGCTGGAGAAGTGGGAGGTAGAAGGGTAGCACCTACTATGTACTCCTTTTCTTTTTTTTATAGCAGTTTCATGTTTTTAAATTTCTCACTGCTCAATCACATGATAACGAAAGGTATTGGAAAACTCCTATGATCACATGCTTCAATATTATTATACCTTCATGTTACTGAACATAATGCACCATTCTTCTTTTCATAATATTCAGAAAAAAAATTTCTTCAGGACTCAACTCCCGATGCTGGACCGACTGATGACTCAGTATTAAAGGCAGATACTGCCATCGAAATCGATATTTCAAATTTGGTCTACATCTTATGGCGTCATTCTATTGAGCTACCTAGAAATATTCCCCATTTTGCATGATAAAACAGTTTTTCAAATATAATGACTTTTTCTCGCAATATTAATTGAAAACTTTGGAAAATTTAACATAATTTTACAAAATTTTCAATTCCTGAATTATAGAAATATTCTCCAGAAGACATGCTTGGATCCGGAGCATTCGGTGCAGTATATCGTGGAAAGCTAGAGACAGTAGATGGTGAGGTAATGCGTTATTTTCAAAGCCAGCATTAAATTTAGAGACGATCAATATCACGGGATACAGCATAATAAAAATCGGAAAAATCCTTTTTTTGCCAATAAGATAATGTTTCAGTACTACAATTTAAGTCAAATTCAGAGAATGATTTGAGTTTACAGTTCAGCAGAGACTTCGTTTTTTAACTTTTTCAGCACTTGATTATTTTTTTAGCACTTAACACATTTTTACTAACAGGGGAAATAAATACTCCTAGGTAAATGTCGCTATTAAAAAATTGAAAATAACTACACCGGAGGCGGATCATCGACAACCATGGATTTCTGAAATGGAAATTTTGCAGGCAATTTATTAGAAATTTGAAATTCAGAAAACCAAACTCCCGGGAACTTATTAAAGCCATAAAAGACATTTTAGTCTGAAAACTATGCATGGAATAAAGATTTAAATTTAATAATTTATTGATGAAGAGAAAACAAAAGACTCTCAAAGATATTGAAAGGAAATAGAATGGAGAGGAGGACCATCTATCGTTACCAAACTGAAAGGTAAGAAATTTCAGGTAATAAGCCATCCAAATGTGACGAAATTCTACGGCTTTTGTTATAATAAAACGAAGGAGTATGCAATGCTCACATTCGAACTTATGGACGTCGGATCGTTGGCTGACTTCATGAAGGTATTACTTTGCAGTTCTGAGTCTGTAGGAAATATATAAATTTCGCTATTAGCCATACAGGTTTGTTCACGTAATAAATTATATGCGGAATATACCAATTTACAGTCTTGATTCCGGAGAATCAATGAAATTAATAAGACTTAATTTCGAAGAATTAATAAGAATATATGCTAGATACATGAATATAATATATCGGCAAATGAACACATTGATTTCCTCACGCAAATAGCGCGCGGTATGGCACATCTTCATTCACTGGATCCTCCAATTGTGCACGGAGATCTCGCTGCGCGTAACGTTCTAATTTGTCATCACCCGACAGATGAAACAAGGTATGCTAGTAGTATTTTTATCGTACAACTCTGGTCTACTTCATAGCTGCGCCCTAGTGACGGTTATTTCTAATAATAGGTCTTACAAGTTACGAGCACTGCATACATCTCTATCTTACTGAAGTGAAAATCCTGGATTTTACAGATATGTGCTAAAAGTAAGTGACTTTGGTCTATCAAAAACAACTCGTCATGAAGTACATTTCCTTCCCGACGACCCGCAAAAAATACCGTAAGTTGCGCAGCAATTTACGAAATATCTAATACATTCACAGACGAATTTGTGATTACGCCTGGGTTGTACTTCATTGCAGTTTCAAATGGTCACCACCGGAAGTGTTACATCGCCGGGAGTTAAGCACCAAAACAGATGTGTGGGCATATGCAATACTCGCTACCGAAATTTACGGTGTCATTGATCCATATGGGATGTTGCCAAACGAAAAAGTGTTACCTTTCCTGAAAGGTGCCGATTTCGAGACTAGTACATCGATAACTGTAGAACTTTGGAATAATGTACTCCACTGAACCGTGAACTGGAGCCAAACCTCCAACTCTAATAATTGCGGTAACTTTGGCTGCGACAATTCGGACTCGTTATTATTCGGTGAACTCCATCTACTTCCCTTTTTCTTTTTTCCATCAAGCAAAGCTTGATTTCTCATCATTGAAAAAACTTTAGACGATCATCGGATGGAGAAACCATCGGCTATGCCTTATTACATCTACAACATTGTCTTACAGTGTTGGCGAAAACAACCTGTAGATCGACCAACTTTTAACGAAATCGTTCGTGATTTAATGCCATATTACATAGAATATGAAAGTAGTCACATCATCCTGTTAACGTCCAGGATAGTCGCAGAGTCCATAGCGAACAGAAAAAATTAAGAAATAGGAGGAAGTTTCGTTACTGCTTTTATCTCAAAGTGATACATCGTGAAAATCTGCCTGTAGTTGATGATATGTTAAAGGGACGGGAAACTTTTAAAATTTAACAATTTCTGCAATAACAATTTCTACAAAGCCACCGACCAAATGGACAGAAAACCCAGCATAAAAAAGTATCAGGAAGATTGGTTGGGTTCGTACACCACATAACATTCGATGGAATAACCACTTTTTAGTATTATCGACTGGTAAAAAAGAAGTCCAAGTATACTCCAAAAAAGTGAAAAGTCAGCATAAATTAATAATAGCCAGAATCAATCAGCCATGAAAGACAACAAAACAGGTCATCAAATGTTCACATAAAAGTCATCAAATGTTCACATAAAATCATCGGAATCATTACCACCATCATGATTCGAATGCATCTTTTCCTCAATGAAAACACTATCATAGGAACGCATTTGACGCTCTTTTTCTCTTCTTTCCATTTCTGCTTTTTCAACTTCTTTGAGTTCGCGTTGCTTTTGTTTCTTGAAGGAATTCAAAAAATCATGGACTCAAATGACCATAACGAAACAAATAGTTCATATATAATAGATACATCATTCAAATCGATACATCACTCAAAATATCGTCTTTGATGCTCCTACGAAATGTTATTTCTGTACCCAAGAGAGGCTTTACATTTCGCTTAACACTAGCAGTTAATTCAGCATATTTCTGCTAAATATTGTCGTGATTTTTGATTAACCAGATCTAACCGAAAGAGATGTACAAGAATTTAAATTTGATCTTTATGACCTTATAATGACTATTTCGACCAAAAGGATTTTAGGATTTCGGATTTTTGATGCTGATTATGAAAGTCTACTAAACGCTTGTACTTATAATGCAAATAAGTATATTACCTTAATTTGACGTTCCTTTGCATCTCTCTCTTCTTTTTCAACTCGATAATCAATATCCACACGTACTTCAGTCTTGTTTAATCTGTTAACAATATCATTAATGCGCTTCGCAACATGGATCTAAAATTATAAAAAACAATCGAACAGAAACGTGAGTAATTAGCATATATATAATAATATATAATTAGCAAATAATTAGCACTGGGAAACACAAATATTCAGTCAGATCTAGAAGCAGTACCAATGGATTTCTAAATTCCATTCATTAATTTCACGAATAATTTACCAACAAACGGGTTGAAAATCTAAATACTGATATCGAAATTTCTTACTGAGCTGTTATCTCAGCAACACAAGAGATATGCATGTAGTCTAACAGAACTAGCATTTCATTTTCTGCAGAAGAAATCACCTTCTTCACTTTTTTTTCATCCTTAAAGCCAATTTGTCCAACATCCATACTACCTGTTTTCTTCAAATTATCCCAAGGAGTATAAACTACATCGATATTGTTCATTTTGTTGCCCTTAAAAGAAATAAAGTTTGCCCAATATTTACAATTCTCGTGTATCTTAGTTTAAAATTTAAAACACTTTCCAGCCAAGTTTTTTATTCAGAAAATAGTGTTGGGACGGCATCACATCTTCGGCTTTTCAATAAATGAAGACCTGGATGCTATTAGCCTTTACCAACTGAGCGCAATCTTCAACTAAAGCTTCTGGCATATCGTTGATTGTTTGTCCTGACGGTAGACGCGCATACACATGTGCGGATGATACTTTATCAACATGAAACCAAACATCTTCGGGCCAACCCCATCTGAAGGTGACTCCATAAATTTCTGCAATTCTTTGATACATTGGAAATTGCAAATTTCAAGTTTTCTATCCCGTTTTATACAAGCTAGGCGTAAGGAAATTATTCCCGCTTGACCGTTATTCTCTAACCTCTCAACACCTGTATTCAATATTATAAACAAAATAAAGAAGCAATCTGCATAAAGCTTCCAAACACAACGATGTTTCAACAAATCTTTACCTTATCAAATTTTCATTTTCAAATTTGTCAACACCCATATATAACATCACTGGTGGATCGGTTACATTTGATGTGAATCTGATCACCATAACCTGCAAATGTATATGATGATAACGATTCAGGCAACCCAATTACAAAAAATATTTTACCGCTCCTATTTGTTAACAAATTAACTATACCGTTAATATCCCCAGCATTGCATATGATCACAGCTTATTTTTCATTGGGTTGATTTCTTTAAATTATTTTATATAAAGCAATTTATATAAGTATAAATAAACATAGGTGTAAACAAATATATATATAAATCAGCATATAAGTGCAATTATAAAGTGTTTTGCATAAATACAAGTATACATACTCCATACAAAATAATCTAAGGAAAATGAACCAAAGAAAAAGTACAAACGCAATGGGAATACCAGCAGTTTAACCAACTTGCTAATAACTTGAAGCATTATACGCTGTTACTCTATTCCGATCGCCTTGCTGCCTCTGACTTATGTTTTTATATGATTATTTCAACCCATATTTTCAGTTGTTGGGGAATATTCAAAGTTCACCCATCCTTAATGCGATTTAAATGACTTATTCATGAGTCGTTAGTCCAACTCAACCTAATCTTTTATTAGAAAACTTTACCCATTCTGACAAAAACTATCCCGCCTGACAAAACTGGTTGATAGTCTTTTCCTTATGAACTCTTCCAACTTCCCACTAAACTAATTGGAAAAACAATGATTAGAGATGGAGTATGAAGCAATAACTATGCATACAAATGCATCAGCACTAGTATCACAGCCAAAATTCCCACTAAAGCTATCTGCCTACACAGATTATACACTCAACTAGAAAGCACGCAATATGACGATCCATCTCAAATTTTTTCTAAGTATTACATTATTTAATTCAATCTTTTTCGTTTTTAATTCGATCCACTGATCGAATTAAAGTGGTAAGTACCCTGAAAAGGAGGCTCAAAAGTCAGCCTTCAGCAGGAAATTTTTCATGTAAGAATATTAGACGACAAAAATAGATTTATGAAAAAGTAAACAGCCGAAGATTAAACATGAATAAACGCAAAATGCATTTAAGGTTTCCACATTGATTATGTTGGATACCATCCTATATATTAAAAGAATATCATGAAACTGAATAATAAGGAAGCCCGTGCGTAAAATTGATAAAAAAATACAGCTCTATGATACAAGCGTAAACTATTTCCCCTGAGATGTTCGAAAGCACTACATTTCCAACCTGACAGGTTTAAAGGCTGCGCAGGAACAGAAAAAATACACCAGTATTATGGAGTTGATATTTTCGAATTCTTGGGAAAGACGGGAGTGGTTCTGCTAAGTCCCATTTTTTGCGAACGAAATCAAAGAGTTAATATAGCAGTGAAAGAAGCGATGCGAAATCGAAAGGAAACTCAACCAACGAATACAATGATAACTAAGTTACCCATTTAGAAAAACAAATAGCTGTAGTTTATAGTAAAAAATTTGGTACAGAGCGTCTACCACGTAATATCTTTTGATCTCGTAATTTCCGTTAATCCATGTAATACAACATTAACTAAGCTCTCCAAGAACTTTTGAAGGAGATAACAACCAACAGTATTTGAAAAGAGTTTAAATTTGATGGAAATAGAAAATACAAATGATAAGGGACCGGATTAAGAAAATACACCAATACAAGTGAAAAAAAAGAAAAGGCAAAAAAATTAATTTTCCTAGGACAATTTGAAACTCTAACAAAAATTGGTTAAAAAAATTATAAGGCATAAATCTCAGAAATTCATCTCATAATTAATGTTCAGAAATAAAAAACAATACCAATATTAATGACAATAGTACAGTAATCTACGTATAAAGACTAAGCTACTCGTTTTAGAATACCATTTCTTGATTTGTACGCAGCGGCGATATTTACAAATGCGACCAGCAACTAATGGTAGTAAAACAAGCAGGCTGGAATACGAGCCGATTAAAGTCAAATCGTTTAGTACTTAAATCGCTTAAAATGGATACTGAACCACAGTTCTGACCACCCGTCTCAACCATGAACTAAGGTCAACCTCGATATTAACAAAAATTCGAAAAAACGACTTTTTTGTACAAAAAAATTTTGTGTAATCTCTACGGTACAATGTTAGCAGCTCGAAGATAAATTTAAAATATCAAGAAAGCTCTGAAGAATTTAAAATAGCAACTTGAAGTGATTATCATTATAAATTCTCCACGCGCATCCTCAGCATAAAACCGAAAGAATCCAGGAGAAAAACTATCATATCCAAAGATACAATGATATTCAGATAATGTTTTATAAGTCTGGGTAATTGAAGAAATATTATGAAATATAGAACAAGACAACAAAAAGTAAACATGACCAAATAATTAAAAAACACAAATAATAGATATTTTCTATAACTTGGATCTCTCGCTTTAATTCATTGCCTAATAATGACAAAAAATGACAAAGAGAATAGTTCCTTTCAGAGTATAAAAATAATTTTGCTAATAGTTTTTTCTGGCAAAAAAAAAAAACTTCATAGAAATTTAAACTTTTTTGAACATCTGCAAAAACTTAATCAAAAGTTATGAAATTAGCTGGTAGTCTGAACAATGCATTTTGAGTCGCCGCTTGAATGTTTATATCATTTCGTAGTATCAGTTTCGTTTTTCCATATGTAACATATATTCGACCTGGAAATCAGTAAAGATTTAGTAAAAAAAGGCGAAATCCGAAATCCATGAAACTTACGAGCTGGCGGATGATACATCTCGATATACGGCTCTTTCGAATTAATAAATGCATAATCCATTTTCATCTAATTTCGTTACTTTACCTGCTTTTTTGTAATAAGCGTCGCGATTCCTTTTGCATCGAATGCTAATACTTCGGCGACAAAACTGTTGCAGAAATGAACTGTATAATTCCAGATAACATTTTTGATCGTACTTCATCTGAATCATGAATATAAAAGAATGTGAGACTCAATCATGTTAAAGATTTTAGAACAATTATATTCTAAAAAAGTAATCCGGCCGATTCAAATTTACAAATTAACATGGACTTTTTTACAAAATTCAAATAACAAGGCCAGGAGATACCATAGTTGACTTTAGGCCCCATTTTCGAATAACAACAGTAGCTTTGCCTTCGTAGTCCAGGATTTTGCAGCCATCGTCATCATCAACATCAACAAGTGTAATTAATCAGTATTACTTCTGCGATCAAATGAACTAGAAAGGCAACTGATCATTAGTTTCAGCAAAATCTGTTGGACTGAAAAATCTTAAAATCCCTAGTTTTTTAAAAATCTAATCTGAACCGAGTTGCTGGCAACAGCTTTCTGCAAGTGGCAACGGCGTTGATGTTCTCAGAGGAACAAATGATGACAATGGGTTCAAACGTGATGAATGTATAGAAATGGTCTTGTTATCAGCAAATGTAAAGATCGACAACACCGTACAAGCCTGCAAAAATCGCTTATTATTCACTTTTATTAGTTAAGCACTTCTTTTTGGTTAACATCTCCAACGATATAAATTTATGAAAGTTTTCAATGGAACGTTTCAATTTTTAAATCACTGCGTACGAGGAAAAAACCAAGAAAAAACTACCTTCAGATTTTTCTACACCAAACAAGTCTGTGCCAAAAGAAAACGACAGATATACTTCTCTGAAATCAAATAAAACGTCTAATCATTACACCATTTATTACGATTCCTTTTCTAACATTTCCTTCCATAGTATTTTGGTCCACATAAAAGTTAGTTGAAATTACATTACCTTCCATAGTACTTATTAAATTTTTACAGGATTTGTGAAAACCTGTGAATGCACCATTTTTCCAAAAACATAGTTTGGGAAAGCCTACCCAGTATTTAGTTTAGTCCTAGGCTGCGAGCCCTTCGGTGTTCAAAAATGATGGCACAATGATTATGTCTTTTTGATGAAAGCTGAGGAGTTAGCGATTGACTCCTTTCTCAACAGGTGAAAAATTTGAACGAAATCGACTGATTGTTAGCAGTATTCGTGACAATGATGCACGGTGTAAAATACCAACTGCTAGCGAGATCCACCACGGTATCAATTTCACGCATCAGTGAGAGCCGAAAAAATATAGAGTATGATAAAAATCCATCCCATTTTTACATTTTTATGGAGTACTAATAACTGCTTATTGAAGAACACCAGATATAAAATGAAAAGTAATTTGCATTAATTCTGCACGCTGACATAAAAATTGCAATGAGATTAATAGTAGCCAAAAAAAGATACCCAATGAATAGTGAAATTTCAGTCTAGGAAAGACGACTAAACACAACATGAAAAATCGGAAGCTTACCTGAACAAATCATCCTCTGCAAGTTTAGTTAACTCATCATGAATTTTGAATGGCTGAAGATATTTCGGCAGGCATTCCATGTAAGTCAAATTATCTGAAGAGACAGCATGCTAAAGTAGCAGGAGTAACTATTTCGGGAAGAAAAAGTCTACTGATAAAACAGGAGGCACCAACTCACCATAAAATGATTTCTGAAATATAAAAACGCGAACTAAAATGTTGTTTTTCTTCCAGTCTATGTTTTCAGATTCCGTACAATTTTTCTTCACAGTGCCAAGAACAACGTTAATAAAAGTGAGGTCAGTAAGATAAAGAACTAAAACTAATTCGATTGAAACCTATAGTAATTTTAATTGGTAGGAAAGAATTTAGCGATTGCAAGTACCACTACTGCGGCCCTCAAACTTTTCGCATTCCAAAAAATCCCTAATCTATGCAGGTATGACAAACTCACTGTTCACTCTCAGCTATAAGTACAGCAACTCAAAATTTGGTAAACGAACATGCTTAGTTTTTCAAATGCACCACACAAATTATTTCGAAATTAGGTTAAAACAACCATTGAATATCAAAGCAGGGGAGCAGAACCATGACAGCAGTTGAAGAATATAGAAACCCAGGGATTATGACATATCGTCGGAAAGCCGTTTGCTGTTACCAAAAGTAGTCATGCTAATGGCCACCGTGAACACCAAAGCTGGGTGGCTGCAGGTTTGAAAAACATGGGAAAATGCAGCATAAATAACAACTTAAATAAAGTATATAATAAGGTATACATACAATTTAGCTGAATTTAGATGTTCTCGTAAACGTTCCCAATTGTGTTCACTTTCAAATAACAACCGCAACTTCGCGAAGATTCCATGTTCTGATGGACCAAAATAAGCTAAAAAGTTTAATTTATAAGTGATTTTTATAAGTGTTTTCAGATAATGGATCTGAAAACTAAAACTTGAAGTTTATTCAGGAAAAACCTATTAAGAAGAATCTAAAAACAGAAACCAAATTTAACCCATTTTCCATGATTTCGCCAAAACGATAAATAGGCTTTGCAAGGCACTCACAATGGAAAATGTTGAGTTCAAATTATTCAAGTTATATAAATGCTGAAGAAACTCTTATTAATAATGTTGCTAATTAACTTTCAGGTGGATAATTAAGAAGGAATCAGTCCACAATCCATAGAAGCATACCTTTGCAAGTCTTATAAAATGTCTGAGAACCTCGGCACGTTTAGCGGCTCTCTCATGTGATAAGATTTCCCGTTGGAATCATATACAAACCGAATTGAACGACAAGTAAATGCAACTTTATCCGGTGCATCCACATACTTACTCTTCTTTGTCCATGCTTCCTTTAACAGTTCCTTAAAAGTATAGCATTAAAACAATCGACTTCCATTTAAATTTGAATGCTAGTGCTAGATAAACAGGTAAAGAAAAAATCGTCAAAATTTCAACACTTTTGGTACATACGACTTAACAAAATGCGAATCATTTGCAAATATAAACCACAGTGGAAGCATTTATCTTGCCTGCGAATTAATTGCTGTGAAGAGCGGATGTCAACGAGAGTGATCTGACTAGCAATATCGTCAGGTCGAACTTTCACCACACTGAACATCATCCTACCATAATTCTTTCGATACAATGGTTATAAGGAAGCTTAATGACAACACTTTTCTCTTTCTCGTGACCTTCATAATAATAGGGAATAGCGTTAAAAAAGGCATTTCACTTCGGACTGTGTCAGTTGTGCAAATAAAATAAACAGTGTATACTCTCTCGATGGAACATTTAAATACAGAATGGTAATACCAAAGAATTTGGAAACAGAAAATATCAAGGTAAAAGAAAAATGAGCTCCACGTCAACAAGTTATGCTGAAAGACGGTATGGTCGGTGAAGAGTACGTCTTTCGGACGATACAATACAGTGGCAAATGTCAGTAACCCTTTGACCTTTACCAGATTCAGTTTTCATCGCATTTTCTAGCCAGAAACATTTCAATTACGTTGTACTCAAGGGAATAATTACACTCCGAAGTGCATCCCGCGACATCTCAGTGAGATATGTCTGCATTATCGCCTTCTCTATTCGCTTCTCCTCGGCTCCCCACTAAAACCTCCCCTCACTGCGTACCTCATCTTACCTAACCTTAGTACCGTGCTACAACTCCCACCACTTCCCAATCCCGAACATGTCCTATTTATTCTTGCTGTCTCAATGCAATATAACCTCAGCACTATTTCCTTGCTCTCTTACTTTCTCCACACTCTTCGTTCCCATTGAATTTCTCATGGGACAGTATAGTTTTAGCATGTGGCCTAAGCCATTGATATGCAAGTTTCACTAAATTGGCCACTGTTCTGAAATGAGTTCTACGGTCCAGCAACAAGTGTTGATAATTAGAATAAAACGGTAAAGGTCAACATCTCCTTCAATGAATCGCAGAGTTGTTTCTGCTCTTTTAGTTGATAGTACCTCGAACATGGGTAATTATACCTTTATTCTGATAATATGATTAATACAGTAATGAACTCAACAATTGCAATGTCAATAAGACATATTCAATGACGATATCAATAAGAACAGAAAGAGAGTAGTGACTCTCGCTATCGTCTATCCAACTGACCTCGTTGAAATACACATGTAAAGTGATTATAGTGCTCAGGACCCTCCGCTTCCTCAAATATCTTAGTACAGTTCTGAGATTAAAAGAATTAGCGCCTTTGTTAGCGCATGTGGAATGGAACTCTTTGTTAAAGCATGTAGGCACAATGGACACACAATTTTAGCTTACATTTTATATTGCACAGTAAATCCACACATACAACATATACCCAGCGATGTCAATCAGTGACAGAAGGTATCGACGATTTCTTTCTGATCATGACAAAGATTTAGAGGGTTAATTCTGCCCCCTTTGTTCTATTTCTTCTTGCCGATTTCTTTAATTTCCTTTGCTTCTTACACTTGGGCAATAAACCTCAAACTTGGATAATTAAACCTTTATTACGACAAATTGGTTCATACAGCAACGAATTCAACAATTACAGTGTCTGTCGTTGAAATCGGAGAAGCAAGTGAATCAATAATTTCCTTGTTTTTGATTTGATACGCTGGATATAATACGTAGCATGTGTGGATATACTTATAATGTAAGCTATAATAGTGTGTCCATAGTATTCATGTGCTGTAACAAAGAGCTTCGTTACACATGTGCTAACAAAGGCACTAATTCTTGTGATCTCAGAACTGTACCAGGATTTTTCCTACTCGAGGAAGCGAGGGGTCCTGAGCACCAAAATCACTTTACCAATGTATTTCAACCAGGTTGGTTGGATGTGTCGCGAATTCCAATTTCGCGAGAGACCAAAGTATAAAAAATTATCTATCCATGCAATCATCACTCATGTCTTAGATCTTTGTTTTAAATCATATTTGTTAAAATATTTGAGCAAAACCACTCCCACTTTTTCCGTATATAAGCTGTAATGAGTGTTGTCCGGAGAGCTTTTTATGACCAGTTTTTCATTACGCTCAAGCAGTTTGGTTGATTCCTTTTTTTCCTTTCGTCATTATCAGCAGTATCGTATCGTTTTTGTGACCCTTTACCCTTTATAAGTAAAGAATTTAACTCTCCTCCTTTATCTACAACGTTACGACACACACACGCACACACACACACACGCACACACACACACACACACACACACACACACACATCATCCACATCAAAGTGGTGTCGCTAATACTCCAAGGGACCTCTAATTCTTCTCCTCGATAACCAACGTGTAAAATCCCCCTGCTTGTTCCAACTATTGACTGACTGCAAATTACTTTAACAGAAATCCACGACACAAAATATTTGGTGCCACGAGCAGGGAACTATGTCCAGCAACATTATTGCGAGCATCCAGCCGGCAAAAGAGAGGTTAGTCAATCTTCTTCTGGAAATAAATTCAGTAGAACTTAAGTCTCCGGAACCAGATGCAACGATAGAGCAACAGGAAATCCTCTATACGATGAGAAATAGAACACTCGAAGACAAACTCCGAAGAATTCAATTGTGTATCAAGACGCTCCAGTCCCTAAGCGATGACTGGCTCAAGTATACACGAACAATCACCTCAATGAAAAAGAAGGAGGAAGAAAAAGCGTTCGAAGTAATCACAGTAGGTGAAACAGGAATATACCAAATATTGCAGCAAGGTAATGAAGCGATAATAACACTAATCATGGATAAAGAGGATGTTGAACAAAAGTTAATACAACTTTCAAAGGAAAAAAGAAAGATGTTGAAGTTTCAAATCTCCCTTTCGACTCCCAATGTCCATCTTCCTC